TCACAATCGATCTTGAGATGCTCTTTTTGGCAATGAGACACCGTTCCTCTTGAATTTGTCATGGCCAGTGAAGTAATCCATATGACTGTCTGATTCAAAATGGCCAATACCAGTCCATTTCAGCTCACTAAAGCCTAGGATACCAACCTTTACACATTCCATTTAACTTTCTTCAAATTTTCCTAGACTCATACTTTGTATATTCTATTTTCCTATTGTTAATGGATGTTTGCATCTGTTTCTTTTTATTTTGAGTTGTGTCCCATCAGCAAATGTAGATCCTGAAAGCTTTGTTCTATCCATGTCATTAAGGTCAACTTTCATTTGAGGAAGAAGCTCTTCCCCAGTGTAGTTTGAATGCTTTCCAGCAGGAGGGGCTCATCTGACATTATATCAGACAATGTCCTGATGCTATTCATAAAGTTTTCAGTGACTAACTATTCATAAGTGTTCCTCTTTTCCTTCTTCCTAGTCTGTCTTAGTCTGGAAGATCAGCTAAAACATGTCCACCATGTTTGAACCCACTGGTATTTAAAATATTGGTGGCATAGCTTCCAGCATCACAACACAGAAGCTACCACAGTATGACAAACTTATAGACGAGTGGTAGTAAGGAATAATTAAGTTAAAACCAGGTAACAACCAATAAATCCACTAACTATACCCTCAGAATATGTCAGTTACGATATGGCAGTCATGGGTATGAGGAAAAGTGTCACTATCCATTTCTGACATCAAATACACAAAATCTTCCATGGATTTGATTCTAAGTCAATACATCTCATGTACAGCCTCTACCTATCAATGGAGACTTGTCTGTTGCTATGATGCTGAACAGTTTTTAGCAGAACTTCCAGACTAAGACTGTATAGGAAGTAAGACTGGTTATCTACTTCTAAAAATCAACAAGTAAAAACAACCCTATGGACCACAGTGGTCAGATCCCACAGTGGTACATGGAGTTGCTGTGAGTAGGAATATCCAAAGGCAGTTAACATTAAATATGTATATGTGTATATACTAAGTGATTACGAATCAGACTACTAACTTCAAGGTCAGTAGTTCGAAACTACTAGCTAGTCCGTGGGAGAAAGATGAGGTTTTCTACTCCTGTAAAGATTTACAGCCTCGAAAACCCTGTACAGGGTCGTTATGAGTCAAAACCGAATCCACGGCACATAACTACCACCACATATGTATATTCATACACACATATTTAAAAGCAGTAGAAATAGCTCAGTTGTCTTCCTTCATTCTTTGGATTTTCATGCATATCTTTTGCAGTGTGCTAAGCATACCTTGGAGACCACTATTTCAAGAGGTGAGCCACAAAGGGGTTTTATGAGAGAAATATATATCTTTGTTTTCTAAGAATTTTGATTAGCAGTGCTTTCTATTTTTAATCTTAATGTCTTGGGGGGAACCTTTATAGAAGTTTTCTTCCTAAAGAGTGTTTGAACCAGTCTCACCTATGGTCCTCCGGCATCACTGGGTACATACCTACTAAAATCCATTAAGAGAACAGAAACTCAGGACCTCAGATGTTTATCTAGAGAATACTTAGAAATCCTTGAATACAGTGTTTGATTGAAACCAAGCACTAGTTAATTTTTTTATTTTATTGTCATAAAATATAATGCCATATGAAAAAAATCAGTTATAATAATTTCAGATGAGTCACATAGTAGTATGCAAGTAATTAAATCTGCAATGTAGGGAGTTTATCAAATACATTTGACTTTCAAAGTAAGAATACTATTCATTCAAATCAAATGTAACATTCATTAACATATGTCAGGCCATTTCTGATTCTTACGAAAAACACTCATCTATTTGATGAGGCAATCTAACTCCATCATAAACTAGTACATTACTTTTCTTATATATTTCACACCACTATCACTGCTTAGAAAGAACAATAATTTGTTCTTTGGTGGGGTTTTGATCCAATTTAAAAAGCCTTGTATCCTCCAAGCCTAATTGCACTAAGTGCAAATGGACTAGAGAAAGGCATTCTTTATTTTTTTCCCAATAGGCAATTTTCCTGACAACTGTAAACTTGATGGCTGTATCCTGACAACTCAAGAGGAAGAAGACATGATTAAACAAAAGTGGGATCTTCCAGCCCATAAATGGAAACCACTGCTTCCAGCCACGAAGGTTAGTGTGATACCAATTTTGGCTGACCCTCCATCTTCCTATTTCACCTCTAGTTAGCTTTAGAAGGATTATGATCCAACACCAAATATTCTGCTTGTTTTAACAAAAATGAATTAACTTTTAAAAACCATAGTAGGGGCTTCAAAAAGTTTGGGAAAAAATTCCATTATCTTGTAATTCCATTTGACCATGAACTTTTTGAAATACCCTTCTTGTATCATGTTTATATTTATATGAGATAGGTTCTATTTTTTTTTCACTTTTGAACTCCTATAAAATTTTGTTTACATATATGAAAAATTTATACATTATGTTTAACATTTTAGAAGGAAAAGTATAGCATAAATAAAGCTATAATGTGTGAAGTATGCTCTGAGATGTTACAGAAATACCTTCTTTGAACAGTAGAAAGAGAGTGATCATTTGTGGGTAGTGAAGGTGAGGTCCTCTCCAATTTAATGATGAATGATGATGTCTGAGAAATGCCAAGATGCCCTCTTCTTATGCTTATCAGTTTGTTCAATAAATTAGTTATTAAAAGATGTATTCATATCAGAATTATTTGGGTATCCCTTTCTTCCTAGAAAATCTCTATGATAAGTAAAATTATTTAGTAGCTTTATTTTAAAGGCTTTTAATTTAAACCCAATCTGATTGGCTATTGTGTGTTTAGACCCATTTGTATGCATGTGTGTTTGGCATTGTGTGAATAAGCCCATTTGGAACACGAACACCATGTTATAACAAAGAACCTCTGAATCTGCCTTTCTTTCAGCTATCCCCAAACCAGAATCATCTGCTTGACAGTTTAACTTTGGAGCTTCAAGATGTCATCACCCATGCAAGGCTAACCATTGCCCCAGATGGGGGAGTGAGTCGCCTTCGGCTTAAAGGCTTCCCGAGCTCCATCTGCCTTCTAAGGCCAAGGGAAAGGCCCATGATGAGGTTCTCAGTTAAACCAGGTTTCAGAGCAAACCTTTAAACATACACACACAAAGTTAGCAATTGCTCAGTAATATTCTTTATTTGATTTGTTTTGAACATCTGAATCTTAAGAAATTTCTGGCAATTAGTAATTTTAAGATCAATATAATTCCTTGTGATTTAATAAAGTGATCACCTACAAATTGATGTCTGTATTTAATGTTGCAATGAAGCATTTGGAGTACTGGTGTGGGACTGTAGGATAAGTGCAGGACTGCAAGGTCAGTTTGAACCACAAGGTCAGCGGTTCAAACTCATCAGCTGCTCTTCAGAAATCCAATACAAGGTCGTTATAATTTGGAAATGACTTGAAGGCACTTAATAACAACAAACAACAATATGAAGCATTTGGTAGTTTAAAAATTGACCATGGCTGTGAAGAATTAACATGTTTTCAACATTCTAAATTACTGATATTTTATAATACCAATATTCTAAACTTTCTGTATATAGATTTAGCAAATAGTATATAGTCTGGTTCCTTTATATTTTTGTTTAAGGGCAATAAAACCATTGTTTTGGTAGCAATTAATTTTTAGAATTATTGTCCTAGTTCAAGACAACTAGCCCATCTTTACCCAGAATACCAATACCAGTTGCTGTCTAGTGGATTTCTACTCATGGAAATCCTATGTGTGTCAGAGTAGAACTGTGCTCTGTAGGGATTTCAGTGACTGAATTTTCAAAGGTAGGTTGCCAGACCTTTCTTCAGGGTCACTTTCTGGGTGAATTTGAACCTCCAACCTTACCCTTCAGTTAGCAACTGTTTGCATTATCTAGGGACTCCCTATCCTGAATAACGAATGACTTTCCCAAGGTTATAAATCCTGTTGAGTTGTTCCCCCAAATAAGTATGCAGTCTGAATTTTAAATTTGTTAAATACCATTAACTAGCTGCCTATATTCTCACAGACTCTGAATGACTCCAGGCAATTCCCCTGGAACAAGTTACCGATTTCAAGTCCAGAAGCTTTATTTTTGATTGAACTAGTCAAATATTCCCTATTGAACTGAAGTTCATTGAGCTTGAGCATCTTCTGACAGGACCCAAACTCAATTTTGAGTTGAAAACATTTATTTGATAACCGATCCCACCCCTAAGCGTCTAAGTGCATAAAAGAGGCACTCAATAAACACATATTGAATAAATCATTCAGTCATCCTCCCTTCCCATACATATCGGCCAGTCACAGGACAGGCCACCCCAAGTTGCTGAATCTGTAGAGTAGGCCAACGATTGCTGTGGAAGGGCTTACGGTAGGATACAGGTGGACCTTCTCATTTCTTGCCTTCTACTCCTCCACAATCATATTTCAGTCAGTTTTGCAGGAATTTCCACCTCCTTTCTATTCTCTAATTTGTGTGCCCAACCTGCCAAGCACCTCCTCCAGGCTTCCTACTGCCCCTCCCATAGGCTGACGGGTCTAGTCAACTGTCACAATTGCCTGGAGGTCACGTCAACACACAGGATCCTCAAAGTGGCCAGGAGCATCCCCATCCCAAAGACTACGACTCCCGGAGGCCCTAGAGGCAGCAGCATTGCAGGCGGCTGGGCTAGGCCCCGCGGACTTGCGCGGAGATTCCAGTCCAGCTGCCGGGTGCCTGATCTGCAAGTCACTGTGACCTGAGGGCATCCGGGTCTCAGCTGATAGTTGCCTTCCCTCTGCCTTCTCACCTGGCTCTCAGGGCCCAGAAACTAGGGGAGAGCCAGAATCCAACTGCGAGGGACGCCCACCCACTTTTGGCAGGCTTCTCACCTGACAACTGCGTGCAGGGGACTGCACGGGAAGGACTGGGTGGATCTAAGCCAAGTGGACCTCCAACCTGCAGTCTTCGCTCAGGCAACCAGTGTCACCATGGGTACCCACGGGTCCTACAATCTGATAGACACCACACCTGCCAAGACCATCCTGGTGTACCGCAATGGGGACCAGTATTATTTGGGCAAGAAATTTGTTTTTAACCGGCGGCGCATAGTGTCCTTTGAGGCCTTCTTGAACCAGCTGAATGAGGAGATCGAAGTGCCCTTTGGTGTGCGGCGGATCTACACTCCCACCCATGGCCACCAGGTCCAGGAGCTGGACAATCTGCAGCAAGGGGGCAAGTATGTCGCTGCCGGCAGAGAGAGGTTCAAGAAGCTAGAGTAAGTGGTTGGTGCCTGGGCCCTGTGGGGGAGACTTGTTCCAGGTGCAACAAACTGCACTTTTATACTTAACTGATATTTTTAGTGGGTACTCTGAATATTCGGTTTCTGTTTTTTATTTATTTATTTCTATTTTTTCATATCCACTAGACGTTTTGAAGTTATAGAGCACGTTTTGTTTACCTTTGTAAGCCCTGTTTCCAGCATAGCTTTGGGGATAATTATGTGGAGTGCAAAAGCACTGAGGTGCCTGGGTGATGTCTTTGTTCATCTAGAGCTAATTTATGTTACATTGTTTCAAACCAAAAATAACTCCCTGCCATTATGTCCGTTGTGACTCATAGTGACCCTGTACAGGGTTTCCCAGGCTGTAAATCTTTTTCAGGAGGGACTTGAACTGCTGACCTTGTAATGATGAGTTTAGACACCGTCAGAGCTCTATCAGTATAAAGGGCTAAAAAATACACTCTTCAGGACTCTCTCCCACTGGCTGAGTTCTATGCATCCTTTACTGGTGGTTACGAATCCGGTCGTGAACCTCAGGGTCAGCAGTTCGAAACTACCAGCTGTTCCACGGGAGAAAGATGAGGCTTTCTGCTCCTGTGAAGATTTACAGCCTTGGAAACCCTGTACAGGGTCGCTGTGAGTTGGAACCGACTCCATGGCACATAACAACAACAACAACGATTGTCTCAATGTGTATGTATTGAGTGCCTCCTTTGTGTCCCTAGGCACTAGGGAGAGACGTTGTTAAGTGGCTTCCAAGTCCTAGCCATCGTGTATAGGGTTTCTGAGACTGTAGAATCTTTGAGGGAGCAGAAAGCCTTTTATTTCTCGTTGCTAATGGGTTCAACTGCTGTCTTGTGGTTCCTGTCCAGTGCTTATCCTACAGAGCCACTGAGCACCCCATTCACCCCTTGAAAATTCATAGCCTTGAAAAAAAAAACTGCAAAAAACTCACTGCTTTCTGGAGTGTACATTCTTATGGGGGGACAGACAACCTGCAATCAACATGTAAACTTTATAGAATGATAGAAAGGAATGAAGAAAAAATCTAGGTCAGTTGCAATTTAAAATAGGGTGGTCAGGATAGATCTCTTTGAAAGATGTTTGAAAGAAAAATTAGCCATGAAGATGAAAAGTAGGAGAAGCACACTGGAGGGCAAGAATCTTATCAGTGTATTCCTTCCTCAAGCCTGACCAGGGTGGGTATTCATTCTGTTATGGACTATGCATTCTCTGTTAAAATACTAACTTATGTAATTGTTCTATTTCAGTGTCTCTTACAGGCTCTGTGCTTGTTATTTTTATACTTACTAGCACACAAAAAAACAATGATGACCCATATTAAAGGCTCTGTAAATGCTGGCTGATTGAAAACGATCCTTTTCTCAGTGTCTGCTTAGATCAGGACAATAGCTCAGGAGGAATGTCATTTGTCTTAGTAAAATCCATTTGTGTATAAATGGCAAGGCCACTGTGGAAAATGGTAATAGAAATTGATAGGTCAGATTCAGGCTGACAGTTAAACTGAAGGATGTGTACTCTAAATGTCAATTTATTTTTTTAAGTCTGAGATGGGTATTGTAATTCTTTTGACACTTCATTGCAATATGGTTGTACAACACTTTTATGTTTGTACTCTTTCTTCCCAAGAGTGCTTTAGTTTCTTTATAATTTTTGTAGATTTTCTAGAAATTGTCATAAGAATTTCTATGCAGTCCTCAGATCAGTCTTGCAGTTAATTAGCAAATTGTACATTTCTTCTTGTAGGTCTTCAGAATGCTACACAGGCTGCTAATGCTTTATAGCACATGTTTTAGGGAGGTGAGGCATACGTATGAGGAAGTGGCACTTTCTATGGCCATAGCACAGACATAATTCTGTGTAGGCCCAGAGCATCAGAAAAGGCATCAGAAAATCAATTGCCTTCAAGTTGACTCTGACTCACAGCAATTGTGTAGGACAGAGTACAAGCATTCCATATTCCAAAGGGTTCCCAAGTGATAAATCTTTAGGGAAGGAAACGACCACATTTTTTTCCTACAGAATGGCTAGTGGGTTTGAACCTTTCATTTGCTTAGCAGGCATGTGCTTAATCAATATGCCACTAGGGTTCCTTTACAGAATGGAAGGGGCCAAAATTGTTAGAACATATAAATTTCTTAAGAAATTTGGATTAATCCTTCATGAATTCGTATCTACCTTTGCATCACCAATGTTTTTGTCTGCTTTTAAAAGATACTGCTTTTCTTTACATTGTCACCAATTCATTTGTTTGTTTTTGTATGTGTGTGTGTGTGAAATATACCACATGTAGAGAAGAGTATAAAGAATGGTAATTAAACAAACTTCAGGGTAAGCCACAACTCATATTAATAAAAACATTACCAGCCTTTTTAAAAACCTCCTATTTGAACTCCCCTATTGTTTGTTTATGTTGTGGTTGTTAAGTGCCCTTAAGTCAGTTCTGACTCATAGTGACCCTGTATAGGTTTCTGAGGAGCAGCTGGTGGATTTGAACTGCTGACTTTATGTTTAGCAGCTAAGTGCTTATCCTACAGTGCCACACCAGGATGATAGCCACTACTCAACTTTTAAAATAGTCATCTTTTTGTAATAAGCTATCCATGAAGGATAATTGCTTCCTGTTTGTGAACTTTATATAAATGCAAAATGAAGTCTTTGACATCTTCATTCATTTCTCTATTTATCATCATGTTCTCAAGCTGCCCTAAAGAATTTTCTGTTCATCTGTTTACTTCTTCTTTCTTTAGGATCTCTACACTGGAGAGCAAGTTTCAGAGTCTTTTCTGACATCCAATTTGGTATTTTATTTCTTTCCTGTTCCCCCCCCGCCCCGCCCCCTTGCCTCCAGGACTGTAAAAGCTTTATTTCGCTATCATTTCAGTTAGTTTGAAAGTTGCTGCTATAAATTAAAAAAAAAAATTTATTACGAATTGAGTGATAATTTACATGGGAGAACACTGGTTTTACACTCATCATTTCATTGCAGTGATTACAATCTCCTCTGTGTATCATCATTCAACAGTATTTGCTTCTAT